TGTAAGAAAAAATAAGCTTTAAAATGGCTTTTTTTGAATTTATAAACTATAAGCACTACAAAGGCCTAAACTAAGCCAACAAAGCCTTCTTTCATCAAATTATTGCAGCCTCTGATATCAGACTGTCATTTTTAGGTTGCACATATGAAGCTTATTTGTCAAGCATGTCGCATTATTTTAAACCCATAAAATAGTGACTACAAAGCTTAATTTATTGAATTGCATCAATAAAGACAAAGATGCTTGTTTTAAAAAATGTAAAAATTTTCCACCCCTTGACAGAGTGCAAGCAAGATGAGATTTTAGCAGCAAAAGTAAACTCTTTTATCCTTCAAACTTAGAATGCATAAGCTTAACAATCACCAAAACTTACAAAAAAAATTTGTGACGTTAAGTAAAAAAACTATGCGACCTTTGTTGAGCACTACAAATTCTACAAGGCATAGCACTTAATAAGTTGAAAAACTGAAAAAAAAAAGAAGGAAAGACAGCTTCACCATTTGAGTTTCACGGCAATGTCAGCTTATCATCTAAACATTACCGTAACGAATAGGCAGTCTAAAAACCGTCCTTCAAAATACATAATGACACAAACTTTTCCTGTCACCAGTGGAGTGACCACCAAATCAGTTTTTGGAATTCCACCTATTGAAAGCGATTTTACAGGCTTATCCCTTAAAGCCTAACATTTCGTCGTTTTAAAAAAAAAAAGCTAGAAAATCAACAATTATTGATAAAATGGAAGAAAGTTGGTTCGTTCTGCGTGATAAAAATGAGAGAAAGCAACAAACTACATCTTCTCCGTATTAACATTCTTTTATTTTCTATGAAGTATTACTCTTATACCGCAGCGGTTTCAAAAACCCACTAATTTCACTTCTTTAAAACCAGTTTCATACCAAACGCAAATTGTGCACTCTAAATTTTCATATATTTGCTTCTATACAGTTTATATTTCTGAGCCTTCTAAGAAACTGGCGTTAAACGACAGGTTTAAAGCAAAATTTACAAGAATCTAGAGTACCAAAACTGATTCATGAGGCTTCCAAAAAGAGGAAATGCCACTCAGCGATGATCGACAAAAAATGGGATCAAACTATGCAGCATTTGGCGGAACAGAGGCCCCATTCAAGTCAGTAACGGCAGTAGTGGAAAGCCTTGTCTAAATGACCGACAGTTAATTTAGCTGTTCAAAACTATAGGCTTAAACAATTGATCGTACATTTCAAGCGCAAGAACATGGTGAGAAACCAGACGGTATTAAAGTACATTGACTCAAACCAAGGCAAGCATACAAGGTGGATACGTCACATAAATGTTCAATGAAGTACATTGTAGTATGAAGTACATTTCAATGTACATTGACAATCCCACCAGCTCTACAGACTTTACAGCTCAAAGGCGTAGCACTGCAAAAAAGCCAGTGACAACTCAGCTTGAAGCTCCAAGTTACTTTTTGTTGAACCTTGAAGATAACCGAATGTCATCAGCGACATTTGAAAATAAAAGTGAAAAAGAAAAAACCGTAAAAACAAATTATCAACCAATACTGCAATGAAAACTGAGGTTTAATATCCAAAGTCCTTCATCCATACCATTCCATGTGTGCTCCTCTCAAATATAACTTTACAGTTCACTATTTAATTGAAAGAAAAGAATACCGAATAGTCAGTGCTGAGGACTCCAAAATAAATGACTCAACTAAATCGCCCAAATTCTGTAAACAGTAGTCAAAGATTTGTATATGGATTAAAGACGAACAAGTAATAATAGCCTAGAAGAAGAAAATTGCACGTCTCGTAACATATTACTATATCAGAGTCAAACTATTTCTAAATTTCAAGTGCCAGTCCAAAAAACAGTATTTCTTGCAGAGCAGGACAACAAATTAGACATCTTCATGTAATCGTCATATATATTTCATCGGCTATCTCACAGTGCTCTGCAAAGTTATAAGTATTTCTCTGATGATGAACAGATATCTGAGATGAAGCAAAAAAAGTTGACTAACTTACATGCAGCTGTTGAGAAAATAAATGTCAATTTATCACCACAACGACTGTAGCTCCAACAATTTAGTCCATAAAAATAACTTGTTTTCTACAGAAAAGATAGTATGAAATTCATGGTTGCCTAAGTTGACTGCCACTTGGCAAATAGAGGTTTAAAAAGCTTGAAGATAGGCAATCATCCTTTTAGAGACACTTTTGATAACTAAAATCCAGAATAAATCTGGTTTTAATAATGTCTTTCAAAGCATTAATGGCTTGCGAGTAAAACACCATTTGCAACTTTATGGAACGTTCGTTAATTTAAAATCGTCAAATGTGTTGAAACATGCCGTTTTCAGTATTTAACCGATAGAGTTGATATTCCTACAATAGTGGAGGCTAATAATCAGGTGCGAGAAAGAAGCAAACTTTCAACCTGAAAGAAACCTAAACAAAAACTGGAAAAATTTATGTAAAAACAGGGTAGACAAGGAAATCCTTCCTTGATGTAAAACCTCTGCACCTCTCTTTTCGCTATTCTGCATGAGGAAATTTTAAACCGGACAGCAAAATAACTGTAAAACAAGCAGATAAAAATTATATCAGCACCAGGTGTAAAAAAATCCATAGCCAAGACGTTACGCTCCTCATTAATTTTCCAAATTTTATTTATGCCTTCTTGCGTCTACAAAAAATTAGAGTGATTACAATCTAAGAGACAGAATATGTCAAGACAAAACTTTATTGAAGAATTATTTTCAGAACAGTATTGTTACTCTGCATAAGTTCATAAACCGTTGTTTGCCCAAATGGCCATCATAAGCCGTGTCTCACTTTAAAATAGCCTTCTAAAATAGATTATACGTACCCAAAAAACAGATTGCAAACCTTTTGATTACGCAAAAACGTATATTCAGATTAATATATGCCTGGACCACAAAAGACCGTTTTCCACCAAAACGTCTCAACTTTTTTTTTTTTGGCAGAACTGATTTCCACAACACCGTGTAGAAAATTTCAAAAAGGTTGCCCATCTCCGCAGCAGGAAGCAACTTCACTAATCAAGTATTATAAATACACCTATTAAGTACCTACTATATCATACCTAATACGCCACACACAAGAATATTACAGCAAAAATTGGATCAAGAAAATATTACTCTACTTTAGAAACCTGACGTCATAATCCTGACAAAACAAGCTCCAGTCTAGCACAGTTACTCCAGCCGGTAAAGCCTCCTTGATAAAAACATCCGTAGATGCTGCTTTCTCCTCCTGAGCCAAACTCCACAAAACATGTCTATTTCCTCGCTTTTAGCCTCTATAAAACTACATTTTTGCCGAACCATCCTACTCAGCTAACTCCAAGTACCTGGAATCCAAACACGCCGCTCACCGAGAGCTTTGTAAAATCTCAAAAAGAAAAGATTCATATTCCCAACCCTTTTCCTCCTCTCCGAAACCCATGCATCAAACTCCAAACTCCCAATTTCCGCTCCTGCCTTCGCATTATAGGCAACCTCCTCCTCGCCACTACAAGAAGGCAACCACAGCTTTCTCTTTCCTTACAAATTAGTAATTTTGAAAGCCTACTTCCTCAAAACAGCAAGAAAAACTGTGCTTCATGAGGCTGCCTCTCAAATCTTGCAATACATTATTCTACAATTGTAATTTTTGAAAAAATCCTAGTACTCAACACTCTAAAGTTGTGGGATTCACTATAGAGCAGTCCAGATGTTGTTTATTACACTTGAATAAGTGTGACTTTACACTATTAATATTACATCAATAAATTTTTATAAACTACCATTTCAGGACAACATTTCGAACATAAAACCTTTACACCGCTTCACAGTCATATAAATGTTAAAACACAAAAGAAAACCACTGGGGAACAAAGGCAAAGCAATGTATTCTAAAAGTATTATGACGCATAAGAAAATCCTCAAGACACTCTCTAAAGCAACAAAGCAAAAAAGATTTTCAAAATCACAAAACTCTAAACCTCAGAACAAAAAGCCACATCTCTTTAACAGATTACTTTGCTGCAAGTAAACAGTGAGGCGCCATGCAGCTGAAATTAGTCTTATCGCCCCGTATACTGCAACTTGCTTCATAGCATTCAAAATGTAGTAGATTTAGAAGACTTTTGTAACAAAATTCTCGATAATGGCTTCAAATGCTTCAACAACCGCACTGCTGAAATTAACCTCCCAACTGAATCACTGAATATGACAAAACTAACGAACACAAACTCAGGACAAAGTAAAATACGAAGAGAGAGCTCAATTCATTAACATAAATAAGTTATTAATCAGTCTGTTAGACCGATTCCTCGAATGCTTAGACATAGTGAACAGATACCAACTTCTCAAACAACTAATAGAAGTTCAAGTAGCAATGCCACTTCAAAAAACTTCGACTAATCCCATCTAGGGTACTGCTAATAAGCAGATTCAAAAAATGATATGAAACTATTAAAGTCAAAAGAACTAACTCCCTGAAAACGCCCATTTAGAAACATCAAAAATGTAAGATAAGTAGAGGTTCTGATCTAAAACCCTACTAGAATAATTATTTCGTAACCAATAAAAGCAATTTTCATAACTTAGAACAACTTTACAGAACGCTCAAGCACAAACAAACTTCCAATATTAAAAGCGTCAAAGCACCCGTCAAATACCAAAAACGGTATTTTAAAAGCAACACATATAAACGTGATAAAAATGCATAAAATAACAAACCACTCCAAAACACTGTACCATATGTTACCAGAATCCAAACAACAGAAAGCGCATGACATTAAAACCAACTGAGCCGTAAATACGATGCAATCACTAATAACCCCTTAAAGAGATTATAAGTAGTTTAAAAATTACATTTTATTTTAGCAATTGGACAAACAGACTACTGCTTGAAAGGGACACTCCAATTACATAATGTCCCTCTTCCTCTACCCACTAGACAGCGTGCTACTGGTATCTGCTATTTGAACCAACTCAAAAGCATCGGTTGAATGATTTGTGTTACCAGCAATAACTGCTTCTCCATCCTTGGAAACATATAAAGCTAAACCTGTAAAGAATACTTTGTTATTACGTTAACAGTTTTACTTTTTTATGCAGCAGCTATCCACTAAAAACTCGGACAACTAAAAATTTAGGTAACATAACTTGGAACTGGTCAATCACACCAATATAAATGGATTCCTCAATTTTTGAAAAACAACCCTTCGCAACTAATTACCTTCAGTGTTTCCCGCAATGTCCGCACGCTCAATTTCATGCACCGCACTTTCCAACATGCTATCAATAACATCCTTTGGATCTACACGTGTCGCTTGAACCCGTTTCGTGCCGCCACTACAGTCACCACTCTTACTTAACTGCGTCCTGCAAGACATTTTAATGCTAAAACTACTGAAAAACGCCTTAAAAGAAATATTACTGCAACCAAAGTAAAAAACTAAGAAAAATCAAAAATTCCAGAACTAAATTTTCCCATGATAAATGTAATATATACAAAACCAACTTGCGAGAAACAGTAGATTACAGACGCATTTAGTGAGAAACTATAGCACAATACAGGAAATAAACAAAGAAAACGAGAAGACATATTTTTTTTGTTTGTATGTTTTGGAAACTCATTTGAGTAGTGTTAGTTCCATAGTCTGTAACCCTTGCTTTCTTAACAAAATCCCTTTACATGATAGAAGTGCAGCGATAAAATCCTGAGCAAGGTCGATGCAATAGTACATTTAAACAGATATTTGCTCAGTAGACCTTGAAAAAAAGCCTAAAATGTAAAGTAAAAAAAAATAGAGCATCTTACCTCTCTGCGTTCCGCCTTTTAGTTGCTGAAACGCTATTCTGAGATCGTGAAGGTTCTAAACTCTGTCCAGGGCACGAGTTATAAGGTGTAGGAACTGAATAAGAAGGAGGTACTTCTTTACTCCTAAGTATATCCGCAGATAAACTACCAGCAGAAATAATTTGCGGGCGACAAATATCATCTGAAAAAA